CTTGCATGTGCCTTAAACACTTTCTTTGTTACTAAATGCTTTGTGTAACATACTACTGTACTTTGCGTCATTTATTGTTTTATAAAAGCAGATTTACATTTTCACTCATATTTCCAACTTTTCTGATGCTTCTACAACTGTCACTTGCTCTACAGTGATCCTTTTAACGCCTCAAATACTAACTTCGTGACACTGAAATCGCGCAACGTATTTCAGGATTGGCATTGGCTGTTCCGAAATTCTGGATCGTCTCAGGATCCAAAATCTCGAAAAAAAACTTAGCCGGTTTTGAAATCTAGCGAATCACGTCTGGATTAATGATAGGAAGTTGGCTTTTTGGGTAACATATGTCAAATGAGGTCACGTGATGTACTTTAAAAAAATCGAACTTTAGGAACCAGGATCTTCGGGTTGTATGCTGAGATTCGTTCCGAAATTTTAAATTCGAGTTTGGAAAAATTTTTTTCCGGAATATATCAGGAAATTTTTGAGGGGTCAGATTCATATTGCGGAAACAAAGTGACTAAGTTTTTTCCTTATTCACTTTTTATGAAGACAAAAACACTCGAAAGTTTCCCAAGGATAGAAGATGCCAATGCAAGCACCCTCTAGCAAAGCAGTTAATGACGCCTTTTTGCAAAGAGATATCATGTGATGAAAAGAGAAAGTTGAAATCTTATCAAAAGGAAGGGAGGCGGAAGGAGTTTTGAAAAAAAATGGCTCATCTGAGTTAACACATATGAAAATAAACGTTTTTCCATCAATAATTAACACATTTGATTATTTAATGTGACAAATTTTTACTTTCATACTTCGAACAGTTATAATTCATTGTTGTGCTTCTTCTCGTCACTTGCGCAGCTGGCAGCTTTTCTATTTTTCTCGATTCTGAACTTACCAATTTCACGAAACTTCACATTTGGAAGGTCCACTTCGATCCATCCTCTTCTGATTGGATCTACTTTTCCTTCAAACTTTATATCTGGACTCATCTATCCGGTAAACTCGCATATAAATCCAGCTGGATTTATAATTTTTCCACTGTTTGGCTTGCTTCACATGTGAACTTGTTTTTCTGCTAATTTTACTTCTGGATCCGTGCTTTTGAACTTTAATCCGTACTTCTCTTAACTTCTTGCCTTGACCGATCTTTCTTCCTTACTGATAAACATTTCCAGTATAATTTTTTCTAGCGCAAAATATACATTTGGAATAGTTGAGTCAGCAACGCTGCGTAGTCCTGCTTCTCCAACTGTGCAGCTTGAAAACTCTTCCAGTTGCTTTGACCCTCCATTTGTTTCAATGAAAAGTGTAATAACTAGATGAAGGAAAAAATTTCTGGAAAAATACAAATTTTTCCTAAAACAAAACGGAGATTTTTGTGATTTTTTGCTAAACGGATCTTTTGTCTACGCATATTATGATTTACAAGAATATGATTTACAAAACTTTTTGCTAATTTAACGGCTGCAGCACTTTCTGCTCGATCCGGAAATAGGAACCTACTCAGTTTTTTTTTTTTTTGCAAAAACGCTTCTCCGAAAAAGCGAAAAACATGTGCTTCTTCTGTATCCTTTCTAGACCGCTCAAGACTTCTCGGACTGAAACTAATTTTAACATTTCACATAGGCCTAATTAAATTAGTGGTTGCAGTAAAGAAGTGATGGTAGCTCTAACAGTTCTGACTGTCAGGATTCTCTGGTCTGGGAATCACATATTGGTAAAGTACTTGAGTCCTCAGAGTTTTATTGTGCGCGTTACCTGGTGAAATGATTGATGAAGCAATGCAAGATGGGGCCGGGGGAAGGTTGAAGGGAAGGGGAGAGGTTTCGGGAATCCGTCTCGGGCTGTTTTCGAACCTATCAGTTGTATGGTTTAATTCTCATAGGCTAGACTTTTTTTGCTCAGAGTGAAGAGCTGCGAGGACAGGAGAGAGGGGTTTTATAGTGATTATTAGAAGAGAAGTTGAAAAGTGTTTTTGTGGCTATGAAAGTCACTTGTCATGGCTACTCGGGCTATTTCCGAGCATTTCTGCTTCGCGCAAAAAGTTAGGAGCAAGGATTCGATATATTAGTTAATACTTCACCTCAAAAAACACAAATTTAAGAATTTTACAAAACATCTGCAAAAGTTTTAAGTGCCAATAGAAAAACACTCGTCGGCGCGAATGCTCTCGGTGGTCCCGCTTTTGAGGATTGCTTATGAGCAAGCTGATAGCAGGTTTGACTTTCTAACATATTATTTCAGTACCAATTTACCATCGAAATGAATGAAAGAGTTGTAGTGAGGGATTGCTTGCCCCACTAACAGAGACAAATTCTTGATTTTTAAATGTTTTTCCACTTCCTAACTGCATCAATAAATTTTTCACTTCCTAACTGCTTCAGTTAGAATACAGACTTTTTTTACTGCACCTCATAAATCTAATTTTATCCCATATAATCC